TTTACATAAGACAGGCCCAGGGACAGAGAAACATATAAAAAGAGGAGCCAAAGCCCTCTTCTCCCTCTCTCTCCCGCGCGATGGGGCGCTCTTCTCTTCGCGTCTTTGGGTCGACGTGACCTCACGCCTCAAAGATGAATTTTCCTGCTATTATCTAAATAAAATAGAGCTGTAACTCTGATCTGTAACACTGATTTATTTAAGAGCTATAACAGGGTCTGTTCGAGACCTAAGAGCTATAACACGGTCTGTCCTCCGAGAGCTGTGACCCGCCGAGGCGGCTTTAATGTCCGTCACTCCAAATCTTTGTTGTGACGAGACAAAGAACCGAGGAACACACACTCGCCTGACAGGGTGAGGAGTTGTGAAATGGGTGAAGAACATCAAAAGATACAAACTTCCAGTTATAAGATAAATAAGTCATGGAGATGTGCAGCATGGCAACTATAGTTAATAACACTGTTTTGCATATTTGAAAGTTGCTAAAAGAGTAAATTTTTAAAGTTCTCATCACAAAAATAAAGTTTTTTGTAGTGATGCATGGGGACAGTGGTTAACTAGACTGGCTGTGTGAACATTTTGTGATGTACATAAATATCAAATCATTACACTATACACCTGAAACTAATATAATGGTATACGTCAATTAAAATTAACTTTGAAATGGACAACAAGTGATGGCTCGATGGGTTGATGGACGGATGGGTGTAGAGACTGTCGTGAATAGGGGTGATGGATGCAGAGACACAGTGCGAGGTGGAGCCTGGTGTGGAGCAGCACTGAGCTGATGGGCAGCACTGAACTGACCAGAAAGTCCGTCCTCGCTGCAGTGAGGACTCGGGCTGTAGGCCCAGCAGCAGGTCAGTGACACTGGCCGGGAAATGAGGGGCTTCTGTGCCCGTAAGCCCAGTGCCAGAAAGATAGCTGGGGAGGAGCCCCAGCAGGGTGGGCGGCCACCTGGACAGAGCAGCCATGGCACGTGGCACAGCCGTTGCGGGTCCAGCTCCGGGGGACACCCAGGCCCACATCCTCGCCATCCTCACTTCAGGCCTCCACCCAGAGCCAGTGCCCCCAGCCACCAGGCCACCTCTGAGAGCCCCGTGCAGAGAAAGGCCATTGTTTTCCAAACTTCTTCCTCCGTCCTGCATGTGATCTCACGTCCCTGAGAGGAGGTGGCTTTGTGGGTGCAGGACCGCTAGGAGACCAGCCTCCCTGCAGCCTCGATCCTGGCCTCCCACCCAGGCTCTGCCGTGGCCATGAACCTGCTCCCGGACACAGGCAGCCTTGCCCACAGCCAGGGTGGCTTGCTGTGACCCCTGGGCAGCAAGGACCACTGAGTCAGCCGTCCTCCCCTATTCAGCGAGGAGAGCCCAGAGGACAGGCCCCCCCACCCTGCTCTTAACCACCCCTCACCCAGCTCCCTGCAGTAGGCAGGCATCAGGGGACCCCAGGTACCATGCAGGGGTCCAACACGACACGATGCCCAAAAGGTACCGGAGTGGGGTGGGGTGGTCATGAGGCCATAGCTGGCCCACTTCTCTGTGAGTTGATCATCAACACTGAAAGGCCTGAGCAGCCTCCCCCAGACTCCCTGAGTCCCAGCAACCCACCCAGGAGGAGAACAGGGTGGGCAGCAGCCCCGGCACATCCCCAGAAGGGGGCTGTGAGACACAGCTGCCGTGTCCCCCTAACCCCCTGAGTTGTCCTCCATCTCCCTGGCCTCTTCCTCTGAGGTTTCAGGTGGCAGGTTTTGGCTGTTCACCTCGCTGTCTGGCCGCCTCCCCACCAGCCTGAGTCACCGTGACCCGGCTGCCCCCTTCAGCAGGCTCTGTCCCCACAGCCGCCTCTCCCTGGAAGTGACAGCTCTGCTGCATCACCGCATGCCGCTCAGGCAGCACTGGCGTCCTTGAAGAACTTCTCTTGCTGCAGTGCACGTGTGGCTGTACCCCACCCTCTGCAGCTCCCTCCAGGCGCTGTGGCCACCCAGCTCATCCACCTGCATCCCCAGCATCGGAGGGGAACCCTGTGTCACCCCAGCTGTGGTGCACCACACGTGCAACCTTGGCAAACTTCTGACCCTCCCTGAGGCTGCCCTCTCATCTGTAAAACAGCAGTGATAGCGCATCTTTTCTGGCTAGCCTCACAAGACTACCAGAAGTGAAATGAGATTGTGTGTGGATTTGCTAAGCATCATTAAAAATGGTTCTTACTGTATGACAACGCACCCCACATCTGATCACCAGGTGGAGCGGGGACAGTTTTTTGCCACTGGACTATCACCTCCCACTTTCCCCATGACTTACCCCAACAAGCTCAGCTCCACATGGGTCCCGACCCAGGGGAAGAATATCAGGACACTACATGACTGTGATGCCTAACTCCATGTCAACTTGACTGGGCACAGGATGCCCAGGTATTTGGACAACATTATTTTGGGTGTGTCCGTGACGTTTTCAGATGAGATAAACATGGGAATCTGCAGACTGAGTAAAGCAGATTGCCCTTCCCCTAGGAGTGGGCCTCACCCAATCAAAACCGACTGGTGTTATTACAGGGGCTCCAAAGAGCTCCAGTACTCAACCTTTATGCCTCAGTGCAGAGAAGAATTCAGTGAGAGCAGTGTGGTTGATGAGAATTGATTTATTAGAATAGGACACTTTTGAGGCTTACAAGTGAGTGGGCAAGAAATGCCGCCTGCTGAGAACTTACTGGGCTATAGTTTTATAATCCAAGGAAAAGTGGGGAAGGGAGAAGACCTTCTTTGTCTTTCTTAAGTAGACGTCATGCTTCCATCATCAACTTCTCCAGGTTGGGCAGGGGAGTTTTCTTGTCTTTACATGACCAAGCTAGGTCCACAAATTATTATTATTATTATTATTATTATTATTATTTTATGTATGCAGAGAGCATGTCCTAGAGATCATTAACTTACTGAGCTCATTGGGCAGGATGTAGGTCTCTTGTCACCATTGCTTTTATTGTTTGGGGGTATGTCCTGTGCTTCTGTTGCATGGTTTTTTTGCTGAGCAAGCCTGCCTTCTTGAGTAATCATTAACTTACAGGGGTCGCTCGTATTTTTCTACTTGCAATCCCCTAGTGGGATTAACTATTTAATTATCTATTTTGTCTCTTCATTCTGTTTCTATCATTCCTCCCTCCAGGTGTTTACCCTTTTAAGCTTAAAAGGGGATAAGGGGTAAAATTCTTTCAATCATTAGCAGCTTCCAGCTGAGATGGGGCATAGCCTGCATGGGGAAGCAGCGAACACCTGGCTGATTACCCCTCCTCTACTGGGAGAAGCTCCAATACTTTGTCCACCTGCTGCGAAGAGCCAACTCATTGGAAAAGACCCTGATTCTGGGAGAGACTGAGGGCAGGAAGAGAAGGGGGCAACAGAGGATGAGAAGGTTGGGCATCACTGACTCAATGGATATGAGTTTGAGCAAACTCCCGGAGATGGTGAAGGACAGGGAAGCCTGGGATGCTGCAATCCATGGGGTCGCAAAAAGTCAGACATGACTAAGCAACTGAAAAATAGCAAATATTGGGAGAATTTTAGTCCATGTCATTCTGGCTAGCATCATCCTTTTAGCTATCTTAGGTGTTGAGCATTGGAGGATGAGTCTACAAAGCATTATAAATTAAAAGAAACAAAACAGTAAGCCTCAGAAAAGTCATTAGAAGAGATTATAACCATGATTTTGAAGATCCAAACCATTTTTTTTCCCAAAACAGTTTCCAAGCGTGGAAGAGGATCACTTAAGGCCTCAATCTGTTTGTGTTTAGTTAGGCCCAGAAACTCAGTGTTTTATATTTTAGGGTCTATTGAGTCCTTCATCTCAGTCATAGATTTAATCTGTTACTTTATTCTTCTGTTAATATCATTTGGTGATGAGGGTGGCTTCCTTGTCCCTTGAAACACAGAATGGCCCCTAATTTAGTTAATAAGTCCCTTTCATTAAAGAAATAGGACAATCAGGCACAAAGAGAGAGCAATGTACTAACTAGCTGTTGATGTTGCAGAAAAGTGGTCTCAGTAAAGTGTGCCCCTGTCTCTTTCCTGACACTCCCATTACTTACAACTGTTAAAGTTCTCTTAGCAATGTTATTAAGTATAAATATTCTTTAAATATTTCTTACAGTTGTTAAAGTTTTCAATCCTCTGGGTTAAAACCAAGAAGGTTGCACCAGTGTATATGAGAAATTCTATCAAGTGGCCAGCCATTTCAATGACCACCCAAGGCTCGGCCTTCCTTCTGTAGATGACATCTCTACACAGGGCCACTTCTGGCCTTGGGCCCTGTCTGTCTTCTGATTGTGATGCTGTCAATGGCCAAGGGGCCCCTATCACTCACCGGCATCCGGGGCATTCCCTCTGCCAATGGCTTGGCTGTTTGCAAAGGACACATATCAATCAGTCTTTCCTCCAGTGTCCCTTCATTCCACTTAGAGCACACAGATTTTGTCTAGGCACCCATGAGTCTTGTGGTCCACCATGGCCAGATTAGCCCAGAAAGCCTGGGCTCTCCTTTGGTGGTCTCTGAGTGGACAAGGTCATTGCAATCATTTGAGCCTCTTGTTTACCTCTCTGACTGCATTCAGCCTTTTTGGCCATACCCTTATTATTGAAAATTGAGTAAGCCTGTTGGAACACATCGCTCACTGGGGTCTAAGGACCAGCAGTTGTTTTATGAATTTTGTGCCTGATGTCTGGGGCAGACTGGGCTATGAAATGTATAACCAAAAGGGCTTGTCCCTCGGGGGAGAAGGGATCCACATTTGTATACTTTTTTAAAACTTCTGTTAATCTCCCTTGGAAAACTGCAGGATTTTCACCCTGCCCCTCTTGGACTTCTTTTATTTTTTCCATAATTAACAGGCTTTTTTGCAAGCTCTTTTACACCCTCCATTAAACAATCATATGGTCCCATCTACCTCTATCAGTAAGACTTACCTGGTGATCCCACTGTGGGCCTGTGTCAGGAACAGTGTCTGCCCACCCGCTATCCTGTATGGTCTTCTTGAGCTGGGCTGCCGTTTGGTCTGCATGGGCTCTGGCTGTAGCAGCCTCGACCGGAGACTTGGATTCTGCCAGTGAGATAGCCCTTGTGGGGGCAGCCATTTCCAACAATATAGTAGGTTTCACTGGGGTAAGAGTGATCCAAAAATTTTCTTCCTATGTCAAAACCTTCCGTGTAATTAAGATTTGTACTTACAACTTTAGGTGTTATCCCTTCTAAAGCAGTCTCCCAACCAGGTGTCAAAGTCCAAGAAACTGCCACAAAGGAGTCCCCAGCACTGTTGACAGTGAGCAAGGGCTGGTCTGGCTGCAAGGTGGGAGTGATAAGCATTTTTAAGGGTTGGAGTAAGGAGAAGACTGACATCAAGGCCCAGGACATCCTCTGTTGGGCACTTTTAGCGATTAGGGGAAAAGTACCTTAAGTCTTAGAAGTCCATTCCCTTCAGTTTTTTGGGGCATAGTGTACTTAAGAATACCTGATAAGAGGTCATTTATCTAGGTGGGACACAGTCCTTTAAATGATTTTTTAAACATATATACCCTCATTGTAGATTATAAGCATTTGGTCTTTATCCAGACAGATTACAGTGATCAGCTTCAGAAACAAGCTTATAATACCTTCTTAATAACTCAATTAAGTTTTACAATAATTTAACAACAAATAGCTATTTTGAAAAGTGTTTTAAACAGTAAATATGGACCTCAAGTAACAAAACTAAAATTTCATATTTATTAAAATAATTTTCTTAATTAGCCTCCAACTAATAAAAAAATAAAAAATAAAATTAAAAAAATAATAATTTTCTCACTGAATTAGCCTCACTTTTCCCAAATATAGCTAAATTAAGTTTGATTTGTTTGCCAAATAAATCTGGTTAATTGATCACATAGGCTTGTACATTTTGTCCAATAAAGCAGATGCCTTGGTCACTAAAAACTGTAAAAGTCTACTCCAAATGAAAAACACATTTTTAACCATTCTTTTTGTGTGAGGGCATTAGTTTTATAGTCAAAAAAGCTTTAATCCAGTAAATTAAAAAATGGGGTTTATTAGGGAGCCGGAAAGAGCCAAGCGGCTGTCTTGAACTTCCCATAGCCCTGACTGTTTAATTCACAGATTAACTTTTTAAATTTAGGACTGAAACCATAAAACCCAGATTAGGACTTGAACGCAGGGTCTTTTAATTGAGACTACACACCTGGTTTCAGGACTTGATGAAGTTCAGGTTTTTGATGTCTCATCACAGAAAAAAATCAGCAAGAAACCAAGTGAGGGGTATTTGTTTAGAGAGAAACACATTTCACAGAGTTGCGGGCCATCTCGAAAGGCAAGAGGTCTTGTGAGAAACACATAGTCTTTTGAGTTTTAATCAGTGATAGAAGAAAAGTCTCAGAATTAAGCTGTTTTCTTGTCAACTAAACTGAGAAGAGAGAATGAATTGTTCTAGTGGATGCAGTAAAAATCTTCTGGAGTTAAAAAGGAAAGAAGCAGATGTAGAGTGTAGAAGGAAAACCTCAGGGTGAAAGAGTATGGTTTATGAAATCCTGTAACATTCTACAGCAGCTGGTTTTATCCCTGGCTTGCTGTTCGATGCGCACAAGCAAAGTCTTTCTACAATCTTTTTACATTTCTCTGCAGCCAGGACTTAAACCTGGCCAAAGTCACCAGACAGTGAAATTCTTCCTTTTCCTATACCATTTCACTTGTCTCCTGCACCAGCAATAAGACCCCTTCCACATCTCCATGCATGTGCATGCTCACTTGCTTCAGTCCTGTCCAACTCTTTCTGACCCCATGGACTGTAGCCTGCCAGGCTCCTCTGTCTGTGGATCCTCCAGGCAAGAATACTGAAGTGAGTTGCCATACCCTCCTCCAGGAGATCTTCCTGACCCAGGGATGGAACCTGTGTCTCCTGCATCTCCTGCATTGCAGGCGAATTCTTCACTGCTGAGCCACCAGGGAAGCCCCCTTATCTCCATACAACCTTTCTATAGCAACCCATGCCGACTGTCAACGTTCTTCCAATTCCCTGTCTTTAAGTGCTCGTATCGTTGTTCCCCCGGCCTGTCCTAGGCACCCGATCAGAGCTCCAAGGCATTCGGTGTTGATCAGCCTGACCAAAACAGGCTGTCATCGGTGGAGTGTCCTCCCTGAACTCCTGGCCCACGGCATCTCACAGGCCTGCTGGGACCAGTCCCCAGACCTTCTTATCTTACCACTGTCTTGCCGCAGTCACCAGCTAAAACTGATTAGTGTCATTTCAGGGGGGCTCCAAAAAGCTCCGGTATTACAGTCCTTTATGTCTCAGCACAGAGAAGAATTCAGCAAGAGCAACGTGGTAGATAAGAAGTGATTTATTAGAATAGGATGCTTGTGAGGTTTACAAGCGGGCAGGTGAGAAATGCCACACCCCAAGAACTTACTGGGCTACAGTTTTATAATCAAAGGAGATGTGGGGAGGGGGAGAAGACCTTCTTTGCCTTTCTTGAGTAGACGTCATGTTTCCATCATCAGCTCCTCCTCCAGGATGAGCAGGGGAGTTATCCTGTTCCTGCATGGTCTACCTGGGTTCACAATTTACTGTTTTTTATGTGTTCAGAGAGCATGTCCCAGGGATCACTAATTTACTGAGCCCACTGGGCAGGATGTGGGTCTCATGCCACGTTGTTTTATTGTCTGGGCGCATGTCTCGTGCTTCCGTGGCATAGTTTTGTTGTTAAGCAGGCCTGCTTGGTTTTGTGGTTAAACAAATCTGCTTTCTCGAGTAATCATTAACTTCACAGGGTCTCCCATATTTTTCTACTTATAGTGCCCTAGTGCAATTAACTATTAATCACCTACTTTGTCTCTTCATTCTGTCCCTGTGACAATCAGTTGAAGGGCTGAGCAGAACAAAAGGGATGATCCTCCCGCAAATTTGAGTCATCTCCTCCTGCCTGACAGCCTTGAGCTGAGACAGTGGTCTTTTTCTGTCTTTGGACTCAAACTAAAACATCAGCTCTTCCTGGGCCTTGAACCTGCTGGCTGGTTCTTCAGAGCCAGCTGGCTGGTTCAGTCAGACTGGACTTCACACCCATCAGCTCTCCTGAGTCCAACTGGCTGACTGCAGATCATGGGACTTGTCAACCTCCAAAATTGCATGAGCCAATTCCATATGATAAATATTCTCCTATACACACATCCTGCTGGTGCTGTTTCTCTGAGAACCCTGACGAACACACTTACATAATTTGATAGGCAGTGTGTGGAAGTGGAAATGCACTGGGGGGTTTTCGGTTGTCAGAATGACCTGGGAGATGAGTCACTACTAACAGAAGGCCAGAGATGCTTAATGCCATCTAACAACATGCTCACCTCACCCCAAATGCCAACAGTACTGCTTTAAGAAGGAGCCATGGTGGATCCATGCCCACCAAGCTCTCCAAGCCCGTCAGCTCGGCCAAAGCCACACTGGCCTCCTTTCTACTTCTCAAACTGGGCCAGCTTGCTGCTGTCCAGGAATTTTGCTCTGGCTACCTCCTGTTCCTGGAGCCACCTCCCCCACCCCACCCAACTCCACCCCACCCCCAGATGGTTGCCTGGCTCTTCTTTCTTGTCCTTCACGTATCACCACCAGATCCCATGTGGTCCCTCTGTTACCAGCAAAGTGTGGTATGGCTGCTCGCTGATCAAAACCCAATAAACAGGCCAGGTTGGTGGAGAGGAAAGTTTGCTTTATTTCAGATGCTGGCAATGAGGGAAGGGGTGTCAGACATCTGTCCAAAGGCTGACTGCCCCCACTCCCCGCCCACTGGCAACCAATAGGGCAAGAGCTTTTATAGACAGAAGTGAGGGGGCTACATGCAGAAAAACAGCATAGTCAGCTGACAGTCATCTGGTCAGACTGGTGGTCTGACCAGAGTCATCTTGGTTGTTTTAGGTACAGTTAAGCTTCAGTTCCAGGGTCGGTTTGTTTCCATTTCTTTGAGGCCAATTTTCAGAACTGTGGCAGCTTATATCGTGGATACAGTCTGGTCATTGTGTAGGTAACCTCTTCCACCTAGTGTTTCAGTATCTATAAGACAGCTCACAGGACATGGCTCAGAATATTATCTATAGTCCTTGAGAATGAGCTACAAGTCCTTGACTGTTTACTGGCTACATTATTATTATTTGGTCTCCTCTGACTACTTTCCTTTGTTTTCATATGTTCTCGTTTCCCTGGTTAAACGTATTCTTTGACTGAAGGCAAAGGGCAGGTAGAGAAGCTGCGGGGAAGGGCCACAGGGTCTTACTCCGTTTCATCTCCACCTGGACATGCTCCTGTTCTCTGTTCTACTCACCAGAGCCCTCGGAAATCATCGTGTCTGTCATGTCCTGCTTCACCGCTGTCCACCCACTTGTGTGGGGGCAGGATTGTCATGTCAGTCTCCCCCGTATTCCCAGAACACAGTGGGAGCTCAGTAAGTACTGATTAGACCTAGACTAGGAATTTATAATGAGCCAGACTCTGTGCTTGGCATGTAAAATTCAAAGTAGAATAAGGCCTCCCACCCATGGGGGAAGCGAGGGGCAGGCTCTGGCACTGGTTCAGCGAAAGCAATCATGCCCCTGGGGGTCCTGGGTGAAGGCCTGGCACCAACATGGTCATTAAGGTGTTCACATAGCCAAGTGCTGGCCTCAGCCCACAGGAGTGCTGGCACCCCTTCACCTCCAACCTGCTTGACTGCAGACACCCCTCGATCTTCTGCTCCACCAGCTCTGCCCCCAGAGCCCTGCAGACCGAAGCTGCCTCCAGAAATCAGACCCCGCCTGCCCCAGGCCCCCCTCACCTCCCCAGTCCAGTGCTGCCCTCTAGGGCCAGTTTTGGGCACAATGTGGACTGCACTTTGCCCAGCCCTGTACTGTCTAGACCTGGTTTCCCTCAGTCTTCCTCCAGTTCAGATTTCCAGGACCCCAGCCTGCCTGTTGCACAAACCCGCTCAGGTCAGACCAGCAGGACTACCTGCCCAGGACCGGGGGCCGACTGACCTTTGACCTGGTCCTCAC